TTTACCTACATAGGTGCATAGAGCCTGAAGTGGCAACAGTCCAACAGAATACAAACAGCAAGGGAAAGGGCAAGGAGTTTATCACTGTATTACTTCCCTTACCAGCCCAGAAGAGTTTTATTCAAAGGAAATGCACAATCACTGATTTAAGGCATTTGCTTCTACAGATTGAGAAACTGGAGGAAGTTAATGCATCACAAACTGTCATTCCAAGAAACTAACACGTTTCAGCCTTTGGAACTTTAGATTTAGGTAACACACTCCCTTTCATTTCTTTTGCCACAAACTATTCTCAAATTGGGTAACCAAGAAACCTAGATAATTGCGACTTGGTTCTACTCCACCACTGCAGCCCCTGGTTTTAACATAAAGTGAACTGTAATGTAACCACAATGGTTACCTAATAAGACATTTTATTGAAAATAACGACCCCCAAAAGAATTTCCCCAATACTAACATTATAAAGTTCAAGTTATTTCTTATTTAAGTAAATACACTTTTAATGGGGAAGGGAAATAAAAAGAAACGAATATCTTGAGCAACTTCTATGTCAGTTGCTATACTCAATTTAATGTTAACAAATGCTCCCTGAGGAAAACAGTATCCCCACTGTCAAGTATTTGAAGTAATACTATCTGCGGGTCAAAGCAGGAATCTGAACCCCAAACCGTCTGACTCCAAAGCCCACTGACACTGCTTTAGATATGAAACGTCATTGCAGATTTGAAAGAGGAGAAGCCTTAAAGTCATTATCTAACTTTTGCACTGGAGCTGATGTGGAAGTTTCGGAAATGTTTTTCATAGTAAACAAAGTGTAGTAACTGATTATCCCTATGATGCCAGTGCCAAGCCAAAAATAGAATATAAACACAGCATCCAGGGGAGCCACAGAGGGCAAAGCCAAGGTGTGCAGGAGCTCCTTTCCAGTTCTTGGATTTTACTCATTCCTGACTCTACTTACTGTTTTGTCTGTTAACGGCCTGCTAACTGTGCACAGGTGCTAGAAAGACAATGATGAAGATGATGAAAACAAGAACAAAAATTAAAAGAGCAAGGCCAGAAACTAATAAAAGAATATTCCTTCTTTAAGAGACTGCCTATAAAGGATTCCAGTAAAACATTTTAGTAACCCATCTCCCATCAGAAACAAAACATTGTAATATTAAAGTTACCCAAAATACTTTTGAAATAACGTTTTCAGAATACCTTAAAAATCTCTAACACTTGCAATTGATTCTGGCCAATGTTTTGAACACGAAGGCTTGGCAAGATATCAACAGATCTCCTCTCAAAAACAATCAACAAGAAGGAAACAAATTCACGTGAAATTCTTACAAGATGGACTAAATGTTGCATAGAAAGACAAATTCAAATAAACACAGCACAGACTAGAGTATATAATGCTTTCATCTATAAGCAGCTGAAACAAATAGAAAGCCCTGTGACATTAACCTGTAAGCAATGAAAATAAGAAAAATTAAGTATGGTCAAGAGTTGTCCACAGGCCTCTGGGTAGGAAAACCATGAGTGACTAAGCAAAAGACACCAAGCATTTGACTAGAAATGAGGCTTCTACAAATAGAAAAGTTTACAAACATCAACTAGCAAGTGTGTCAAATTTCTCAGGCAAGATGATAGATATCATCAGAGGTAAATAAAGAAGAATGTCCTTCAAAAGTAGAATGGCCACATGTCTCAGGTCACAGCCATCAGTGCCCTGGCATAATTATTTAGAGCACTCTGTTTATGTCTCAAAAGTGTCCCAGTTGGGCAATTATATTGTTATCTCACTCAAAAGTAATATATGACAATGGAAAGGCAAAGATTGTAGGGAGGGAGGAAGGACCCTCTGCTTGCATAATGGCTTCCCATACAGTATCTGTTTGGGTGTATCCACTCAGCCATTGAGTTATTCATGTACTCATTCAGTCATTCAACAATATTTCAACTCTTATTATGCCCCCGCACTGTACACACTCTGGGGCAAATACAAAAAGTGAAGCCTGAGACCAGGCCAGAGGGAAAGACAGACAGATGTGGAAATACGTAAATATAACAGATATAACAGTAAATCTGAATGGCATTGAGAACCAGAGAAGAGAGTGATTTTCCCCCAAATATAGAGAGCGCCACTTGGAAATGTTTAAGCCCACACAAAATAACTACATACAAAAAAGCCATAAAAGTCAGACTTCAGCATAGATCCACTAACTAAATAGCAACAAGAAAAAATTTAACAAAATCTATCACTTCCAAATCATAAGGTTATAAATATGAAGGCTAGCACATAGTCCTTGTGAATTTTGGTAAATAAATTCCACTAATCATTAAAGATTATGTTGTGAAAAACGAGATAAATTTTAGGCAAAGAAAACTGATAGAGTAGAAGTTATGTGTTCTAGTTCTCAAAACACAAAGACAAAAATTGAAACAGGTAGTACTTCTCAGGTTGTCTGAGGAAAGACCAATAATGAAAAACCACTTAGAAAAAAAATTTTAAAGTTCTGTTGAGATTAATGAAAATACTTTGCAACCACCAGTCTCAAAGATCACTCTAAAAACACTAGAAGAGAGGATCAAAACATCTCTCCAAAAACAGAACACTGAGCAGAAATAAAATGATTTAACAACACGCACAAAAATGCTTAGCTGTGCATACAGGCTCATTGTACAGTTTACTTTAAAATAATCTTTTTAATTTGCAACTCATAAAAATAAAATCATCGATCATTTTTAAGAAGCGTTAAGTAGGGTGTGACTTTTCTGAAACAATCCTCGAGCTTACAAACAAATTATTAACCTCACCAACGTTGTAAGACAACCCATAATGGGTTCCGTAAGACAAAAATGTGTTTCTCCATTACCAGTTCTTTTAATAGCAACCCCCTTAAAGTACAGCACTCATTTTCTATTTCTGCTAGAAATTAAGGCTAGATTATCAATGCCTTATCATTAGATGAAATCATCCTTCCACCTATTTTAGGAAAAAAAATATATTTCACTACAAATATGAGGGAGGGTAACTAGAACTACAGGGCTGCATATGCAGTCTTTATTTTTTTAAATATATATTTTATTGATTTTTTACAGAGAGGATGGGAGAGAGACAGAGAGTTAGAAACATCGATGAGAGAAAAACATCGATCAGCCGCCTAATGCACACCTCCCACTGGGGGTGGGGGGTGGGGGGCAACCAAGGTACATGCCCTTGACCGGAATCGAACCTGGGACCCTTCAGTTCGAAGGCCGACGCTCTATCCACTGAGCCAAACCGGTTACGGCCATGCAGTCTTTACATGAAACTTGCCTCTGGAAGCATAACCTAAACGGGACAGGTGTACACAGTGGAACTGACGAAACTTCCCGATGAAAGCTTAAAACTAAGAACATATTTTGATAGACTAGTGACAAAATCAGAGTTCTCTCTGAAAAAGTTTGGTTACTCCCACCACACTACATCCTTAAGGGTTAATGTGTACAGTACCTCTCCAAAGTACACAAAATTACATAGAGACAGTAAACAAATCCACTGACTCTATGTAAGATCAAATCAAGAGGTCTCTGGACTCATTAATCCTTATATTTCATTTTGGTCATTTTTTTAAAGTTTATAATGCATACACAGGTACATAATAAAACACTGAGAAATCTGTGAAACATCCATTGAACATAATTGTGTAAGCATAAATCATGGTCTTGAATTAAAGGACCAAAAGCTTCTGCAGTAATAACCAGTACTGTGTTTAAAAATACCTGGGGAAATAAACTTTGGGAAAGGGTCATTTCTATCTCTCTACTGTCTAGCCTGCTCTACGGGGTTAAAATCGAACCAACTAACTATTCTAAATTGTAGGGTGGCTCATCTGAGAAAAAGAATGTAAAATGAAGAGTCTAGTAACGTCAGAAATGTTGTGCAAGAATTGCTCTTTCGGCTAGGAGTAGCAAGCACACTATAAAATGCTTCTGCTTTCGTTCTTCCAATTCCTCAGATGATTAAAAAGTTCCCAGCCCGTTTTAACCTGTGCGCCACAGCCACCCACATTCACACTCAGCATCTTGGCTCGACACAAATTACTAACCCACTGGGTGCAGACTGGCGCGGATGAAGCAGCAGGGAGACCCTAAGGCTGTGGAACAACTGCAAGGGGAAGGGACGGGGCCGTCATTCCCTTCGTGTTCCCATCTCCTTTCTGGCAGAGATTCGCAGATTCCACCACTAGAGTTTGGCAGCCTCACAATGGGGCCGCCTGCTCAAGGGCTGACTGCCGCCCGCCTGGAAACCCCTTTCCCCCGCTTCCCACCCGCCCCAAAGTCGACCCGCGACAGGTGGGGCGAAGACTGCAAGGGGAAGGGACGGGGCCGTCATTCCCTTCGTGTTCCCATCTCCTTTCTGGCAGAGATTCGCAGATTCCACCACTAGAGTTTGGCAGCCTCACAATGGGGCCGCCTGCTCAAGGGCTGACTGCCGCCCGCCTGGAAACCCCTTTCCCCCGCTTCCCACCCGCCCCAAAGTCGACCCGCGACAGGTGGGGCGAAGGCGGCGATGCCCAACGACATCTGCCACT